TCCGCTTCTTTTACCACTTCATATGCTTCATGTACACCACCATATAAATTAGTTAGCTACTCGTGTTATTACAACGGGTGTACTGTTCCAAATTGTGAAACTTGTAATAGTTCGAGTGTTTGTACCACATGTAAAAGTGGATACACTTTAAAAAATTCGACTTATTGTGAAAGTAATATCATAATCCAAAATTGTTTAACGTACGGAATATCATCGTGTATTACATGTGAACCGAATTACTACTTATTAAACAACAACGCATGCATACAATGTGACACAACTTGTGGTAATTCATGTTCTGATTCAACAGGATATTGTTCAAGTTGTTCAATTGGGTTGGTTTACACAAATCCACAATCACAACAATGCGAAGTGTGTTCTAATTATGATTCAAAGTGTGCTGAATGTCTGACTCCAAACAAACAGTGTCGGGTGTGTACAACAGGATATTACCCATCAAATGCCAACTTGAGTTGTATTCCCTGTGATTCAACGTGTGCGTCGACAGGGTGCAACACACAAACGGGCGCATGCAACACTTGTGTAAGCAATCAATATACAATAATCTCTGAAACAAATGTTTCGTGTCAGACGTGTTCTTCTTTTGACCCGAATTGTGTAGATTGTTCAACAATCACAAGAAAGTGTACTGTATGTAAAAAGGGAATGTACCCATCAACAACATCTCCATTTACATGTGTTGGTTGTGACTCAACGTGTTTGAATGGATGTAACACACAGACGGGATACTGTGAGACGTGTTCATCACAATACACTCCCGCAATAACACAACCTTCAAAATTCTGTTCTTTTTGCAATTCAATAGACCTAAACTGCAACACGTGTTCATCAACAGATAGAAAGTGTCTGAGTTGTGCATCTCCGTATTTTGTTGGGATTAATGGAACAAGTTGTGGAAATTGCGATTCTTCTTGTTCTTCATGTGATGCAAATGGGTATTGCACATCATGTGCATCAAATTATGTGATGTATGACACACAAAGCACAAAATGCAAAAGTTGCGCAGACTTCGATTCAAACTGTGAGACGTGTCCAGGTGGAAACGAAAAGAAATGCACAACTTGCAAAACTACAAACATGTACCCGTCACCAGATACCGGGAAGTGTATTTCATGTTCAACCACATGTGGTGGAAGTTGTGACCAAACAGATGGGCATTGCACTTCATGTGAGAGTGGTTTGGTCTTTACGAGTCCGCCATCAACAGTATGCGAAGTTTGCAAAAACTTTGATTCTCATTGTGCCACGTGTGCCTATAATGGTGTCAGCTCATGTCTAATATGTTCAATGGGGTATTACCCATTAAGTGGCACGTGTGTTGCGTGTTCGGCAACGTGTCAACAAAACGAGTGCAACGCAGCAAATGGACAATGCACAAAATGTATTGACAATTACGTCGTGACTTCGCCAATTTCTCCAAACTGTGAAATTTGCAGTGTTTATGACCAAAATTGTGTGACATGTGCGACAGACTTTACAAGAAAGTGTGTTTCCTGCAAACCATATTATTACATCAAAACGAGTGGCAATTATAAATGCCAAAGTTGCTCATCTACGTGTGGTGGTGCCTGCAATGGTAACAATGGAATTTGCACGACATGTTCGAGTGGGATGGTGCCAACCGATCCATTTTCAACAACGTGTATATCGTGTCAGGCATTTGATGTTAATTGTGAGAGTTGTGTGACGGGTAAGCGGAAGTGCACGAAGTATTCAACGCCAAACATGTATCCAGACGACACGTCACACACCTGTGTATCGTGTTCAACAACATGTGGAGGGCAGTGCAACACAATTAGTGGAAAATGTACCGGGTGTCAGACAAATTACGTCTTTAGTGATCCAAGGGGGTTGACTTGTCAAACGTGTAATGATTTTGACTCACATTGCACAACATGTTCTTCAGACTTTAACAGAAAGTATGTTGTGTGTAATAGTGGATACTACATTGTTAATGGCAAATGCAGGCAGTGTGACTATTCATGTGGTGGTAAGTGTGATACAACCAGTGGAAATTGCACGGGCTGCGACACAAACAAAGTCTTTTCAACAACAAACAGCAGTGTGTGTATTGCATGTGCTGATTTTGACGCAAATTGTCGAGTTTGTGCGTCAAGTGGCGAGAGAAAGTGCAACACGTGCACCAACAAGACACACACAGACGATACTGGTGTATGCGTTCCATGCGACACACAATGCACAACGGGCTGCAATGGCCAAACTGGTGTCTGTGTTAATTGCAATTCAAATGAAGTTATTGACGAGTCTGATGGAACAACAAAGTGTGAAGCGTGCTCTTCGTTCGACTCAAATTGTATTTTGTGTGCATCAGACCAATCGCGTGCATATGAGGAATGCAACACAAATTATTACCCGGACACATCAACAGACTTCAAATGCAAAAGTTGTGACTCAACATGTGGTGGTAGTTGCAACACGCGATATGGGTTTTGCACCGGGTGTTTATCAAATTACGTTTTTATTTCTTCAACAAGTAAGACGTGCCAAAGCTGCAGAACATTTGATTCTCTTTGTGCGACTTGTTCGCCAGACTTTTCAGAAAATGTGTGACCTGTGACAGTGGGTATTACCCATCAAATGGAATTTGTGTAGCATGTTCAACAACGTGTCAACAAAATAAGTGCAATACAGCAAATGGTATGTGCATGTTATGTATTGACAACCATGTTGTGATTTCACTAATTTCAACAAATTGTATAATGTGCTCTGCATGGAACAAAGACTGTGTAACTTGTGCAACAGACTTCACACAGAGTTGTATGGAATGTACAAATGGTAAATTTGCATCAAATGGAAAGTGTATAGATTGTGACTCGACATGTGGGGGTAAATGTGATGGAGTAAGTGGAGAATGTACTGGCTGTGCATCAACGTATGTCCCTTCTAACACAAATCCGTTTGTGTGTATATCGTGTCAGGCATTTGATGTAAATTGTAAGAGTTGTGTGACTGGTGAAAGAAAGTGCACAAAATGTTCAACACCAAACATGTATCCAAACGACACGTCACACATTTGTGTGTCATGTTCAACAACATGTGGAGGGAGCTGTGATGCAACAAATGGGATATGCACAGCATGTCAAGATAACTATGTCTGCAATCGACTAAATCACGTGTTTGCGAATCATGCTCAACTTTTGATGCACATTGTAATAAATGCTCGTCTGCATTTGACAGAAAGTGTGTGATGTGTAACACGGGATATTACCCAAATGAAATTGGTGTATGTGTTCAATGTAACACAATCAACACTAATTGCACTACTTGCAGTCAAACAGTTAAGAAGTGCCTGGCGTGCAAAGACCCACAATACGTAGCTTCAAATGTGCTTTGTACAAACTGTGAAGTTGGCACTTACAAAAAGACCGATACAACATGAAAAAGTTGTTATTTTGCAACTAAGTACTGCAATGTGTGTTCCACCCTTACTGTTGCTGTTTCCAATTGTGCCTCTTGTATGACCAACTATGTGTTGAATGGCGGGAAGTGTCAGTTGTGTCCAAGTGGGAAGTATTACAATCCAAATTCAAAGAGCTGCCAAAGTAATTTTGTGAACTGCCAAATTCAACTCTATGAGTCGACTTGTCTTCTCTGTAACAACAACTATTTTTTGGCGAATGGGGTTTGCCAACCAACATCACAATGTCTTCGTGTGATTGTTATGACCAGATTTCAGTCAACTCCGATTGCAAAGACAATTTGACAAACTGCAAATATCAAAAAGTTGAAAAGAATAATTTTATTTGTAATAATTGCAACGACAACTTCACTTTGAATGGAAATGATTGTCAAAGTTCACAACAAAATATGGAAATTAGAAATGGTATTATTTACAAATGTGGAATTGGTGATTATCTCAACATATCAAATGATTGTGCTGGCTGTGGAAGTTCTATTTCAATTTGCCAATTATCAAAGAACAGAATTACTCCCCTGGAGTGTACCACTAATTATATATTTGACACAACTTCAAACCAATGTGTTCCAGATGAAAACTGCAAAACGGCAAAATATGGATTTTGCACCAAGTGTGCTTCTAATTTAAATTACCCATCACAAGGAAGGTGTTCCAAATGTCAAACAAACAATTGTGGTCTCTGTGACAGTAATGGTTGTCTTGAATGGTTGGATGGCTTTGTAAAATACACTGACACTTGGTGTATATCAAAGAGTGAAATATCAACATGCAAAACATTTAGCTCAAGTGGGTGTGTTGTTTGCAATGAGGGGTATTACCAGACAGACTCAAAGAATGTAGAGAACAAGTACGATTACTGTGTCCCAATAGAATCCACAACAGTTACATATTGCAAGAGATACAGTGCAAATAACAATAAATGTGTTGAGTGTCTTGATACCTTCAAATTAAAAAATGGAATTTGTGCTGAAACATTTGATGAAGATGACAAACTTAAAACAAGCAGTAAAACAGTAACAGAAACAACTTGTTTAATTCGAAATAACAAAGGATGCCAACACTGCGCCGGTGGATTTTACAACATCAACAACGAATGCCTTCAATGTAAAAATGACTGTCTTTTTTGTTACAACACGACTTATTGCACAACATGTAGATCTGGGTTTTATTTTGACACATCAGGAAACTGTAAATCTCTTGGTGTGTTGGAGGAAAGTTGTGACATTGCGCTACCCGGTAGTGGATGTGCAATTTGTAACAGTGGGTATTATCGAGAGGGTATCAGCTGTATACATTGTGATGAGTCGTGTGCACTTTGTGTTAATAGTTACGAATGTCTTGCATGCAAAGACGGCTATTTCAACATTCAAAGCGAAGGCAAATTGTGTCAATCAAATACAACACTTTCAAATTGTGAATTGTCATCGTTTTCTGGCTGTGAAAGGTGTGTGTTTGGTCATTACTTATTAAATCACAAATGTTATAAATGTATTTCAAATTGCATTTCATGTGAAACTGAAAGGTTATGCACAGAATGTGATGATCAAGATTATGTTTTAGTTAACTCGCAATGTCTTCATTATACAAAAGTAAATCGTTGTGTTTCAGCACAGAATTCAAAATGTGTTAAATGTGAAGGTCAACAAAAACCGACAGATTATGGTGATAGTTGCACAGAATCTGTTAATTATGGTTTTGTCATAGGTATTCCAATCACAGTTGTAGTACTGTTGATATTAACAATTACTTTGTTAACAATTATTCTACTTTATATACTTCAGCGATATAGTCACAAACAACAAATGCAGAATGTCTGTGTTTTCGATATTAAAAGTTCTAATTTAACGATGGAAAAAATGAACAACGTTTTGTGCTCCAACAAAAATGTTTTACGCTTTGATATTGATAGCGACGAAGTTATTAAAGTAAACACCAAGACTCGTGACTTGATATGTATTGGAAACACTTCAAAACACAGTTTGAAGGTTCAATTTAGTGTGATTGAAGGGTGTGATTGTTACCAAATACGTACACTGCCTTCTATAGTCACACTAAAGCAAGGCAAAGCCTGTGAATTTGAGTTATTTATAAAGCCGTTATGTTCATGTCAAATAAAAGAAAATATTATGGCGATTGCTCTTGACATTGTGACAGGAACTGTTTTGAGTAACAAATTACAAATAGAAGTCAACACAGAACAATCAACCAAATTAAATTACAGAGAACTCGAAGAAACGAAGCAAATTGGCGAAGGTTCATTTGGTGTTGTGTACAAAGGAAATTACAGAGGAAATGTTGTTGCTATTAAAAAGATGAAACAAAGTGATAATAAAGAAGAAACCATTTCTGAATTTAAAAATGAAGTCGACATGTTAGACAAATTCCGAAGTGAGTATATCGTACATTTCTTTGGAGCCGTTTTAATACCAAACAAGATATGTATGGTCACAGAATTTGCGCAATATGGAAGTTTACAGGACTTGATTAATAAGAAAAAATCCAATGAAGTTGAAATGAATTTACGAATAAAATTGATCTTAGATGCTTCAAAGGGATTTTATATTTACATTAAAATGGAATTTTACATAGAGATATCAAACCAGACAATATTCTTGTTATTTCACTTGATATGAATAACAAAGTCAATGCAAAATTGACTGATTTTGGAAGTGCTAGAAATATCAACATGTTGATGACTAACATGTCATTCACAAAAGGAATTGGAACACCAGTGGACATGGCACCTGAAATAGTTAAGAAGGAAAAGTACAAGAAATCTGCTGATGTGTTCTCACTTGGTATTACTATGTTTGAGTGTTTTGGGTGGTGTCAGGCATATCCAAAAACACAATTCAAATATCCATGGGTTATTGCAAAGTTTGTGATTGAAGGAAAACGTCTTGATAAAAAGGAGAATATGAGTGATAAATCTTTTGAGATAATCCAAAGATGTTGGGAACATGAACAATCAAAAAGACTGAATATTAAAGATTTAATTTCCAGTCTATCAAATTTAACTTTAAAGGTCTGAAAAAAATAGAAAACACATTCACAACAATAAGTAATTAGGTTTTTATATTTTATCATTTTTCAAACAAATATATGAACACTAGTATGTTTTTTACGAACAAAATTAACAAAACAAAATTTAAAATATAAGTTTTTTAAAATGGTTGCTACAGAAACTGTCAAATGATTATGTTATAAATACAGTCATTATTCGATATAAGGGAATACCATGTACCAATGTTATTCGATATAAGGGAAAAAATGAGGAATTGTATAATTAACAAATAAATACCTCGGTTTGTTTTTTGTCACAAAAATATTTTTTTGATTATTATTTTTTTTCTAACCAAAATAAACACTTTGCCTATGTCTTGAAAACAATTGGCAATTATTTTTTTTCTAAAATAAATAATAAATTTTATAATAAATCAAAAAACAAAAACAAATCTATTAACACAATTAATATAATAAATAAAACTTTTGTATCTAACTTTGTTTCGACTTAAATAACTTTAAATAAATCTGTTAAATCATTAAGTTTTAATGCAATCCAAACGTGTCAAAACGAGAACATCATTGATGTTACGAGACAAAATAAAAATTATTGAATTAATTGATCTTTATCAAAATACACAGAAAGTAATCGAAGTTGTAAGACAACAACTAAAAATAGTAATTTCTCCAAAGCAAGTTTATCATTTGCGTTCAATTTCTAAAGAAACATTGATAAACTTTCCATCCTCGTATAAACGAATAAGAAAACCACAGAACCCGGAACTTGAGGAAGCAATGATCAATTAGTTTCATGAAGTTCGTGAAGCGGGAATACCAATTGATTATTTTATGTTGGTTTCCCAAGCCAGATGTTTTATTCAAGAACACTCAGATACTATTCACCAAGGTGCTTCTATTGGATGGGCCCAAAATTTTTGCAAGAGAAACAATTTTAAAATGTACAAAACTCATGGAGAAGCGGCTTCTGTAGATTTGGTAAGGTTCGTCCTCTTTTCGAAGACTGTTAAGGTGTTAATGAGTTCCCAAAGAGATGTATACACGCGATGA